TGGCACCGTGTTGTCATGAATAACCAGGCACGTGGGATGTTTTCATCATGAAAACCCATTCCCGTTCCGGATAAGCTCCCACACAACGGTTTTTGACTTTTCTTCTGAAGAACGGGACTGAGGCTCTTCTGCCCGGTTGTCACAAGCAACATGAAGCTGGGTCCCCCAGCTCAGCTGCTCGGTGGGACCTTGCCGTTTGAGAGCTCTCCAGCTGGTCGCGGCTCATGGACTAGAGTGTTACCCCAGTGAGCTCTCCGGTTCTTAAAACGTTTCAAAGCTGTGTGTCACAGGCACAGACCTCCACATCCATCTTCTGTTGCTGTTTGTTCCTGACGGCGAGTGGGACTTTCGGACGTCAATGTGTGTACGCCAGTTTGAAAGAATTTGTGAATTACGTGAGGGACTCCGGTCTCGTAGGGTTTCAGGTACCTCTCGGATGAGCCGGGATGAGCAGGCTTTGGTTTTCCTCTGACTTCTTCCTCTTCTGTGCCAATCCCTGTCCCCTCGCGTCCGAATTCGGGTTGTGTTATGATTTGATTTAGGGTTCCGCTCGCTGCCGACAGAGTAGGGGGGAAAACATTGCCTGCGTTGAGCTGGGAACCGGGAAAGGCCAGGTGACCCTAGGAAAGGTCCCGCCTTCTTCAGAGAAGGGGAGAGGTGCGTTAACGTCACAAGCACCTGAGACTGGTTGAGAAATGATTTGTTTGCTTTCTGTCAGGATCAAAACTACCCTTCCTCGCGCCATGGTTGCAATTGAGATGAGTTTTACCAGGGCTGTCGTCGGCCTGAGAGTGGAGGCCTGGGGGCCAGCTCTTCCGGAAGGGAGGCGCAGGTGACGGCTCTGACGCTCAGATCCCACCTGCCTGGGACACGGGGTTTAGTCCTCGGCTCCTCCGAGGTGGGGGGACGGCGCGCCTGGCCCCGAGCAGAACGGCGTGACGCAGACAGCTACCCAGCAGCCCCCAGGGTTGCGGGTTGTTCCTGTTTTTGCGTGAGAAGCGACGTTAGGAGTCCGGCTTGCTTTCCCGCGTATCGGCACGTTCCACGTGTGGTAGACGTGCGTTTTCCTTTGAATCGTTAAAGCAGAGGAGTCCTGGGAGTCCAAGGCTTCGTGTGCACAGCACCCAGGGGGAAGCCACTTTGAACGTGGATGGATTTTCCGTCCGCCTTTTGCTGACACTTTCAAACTTTTCCTCAAGCGATGTCGTCCCAAGAGCCGGGCTTAATGTTAGGATATAATTTGGAATGTTACTGCTTCCCTGGTCCGCTGGGAACACTTTCTGGCAGAAGGGAGGGGTGCTTGGAGCTGAGATAGGAGGTCTTCCCGTCGGTAATCCTAGCGGCTCGTCACCTCTTCCTTCTCCATCGTGTTCTGGGAAATACCGTGCAAACTGCGGAGTTTCGTGAGCGCGTGTGGCCGCAGGGGTTGGCTGTGCTGTAGTTTAAGGGGGAAGGAAGGGCCATACACTCCTTTCCCTCAGGGCCGCAGGGCTCCGGACGCAGGCCCCAGGAGGCGGACGCGGCCCGGGGCGTGCGCCAGCGACCCTGTGACACTCCGGGCCTGCCCTGGGTGCTCTTTCCTGGGGGTGCTTGTTACTTTTCCACAGGGAAAAAAAAATTTTTTTTTTTTTAAGTTTGAGAGAGAGAGTGTGAGAGCTAGAATCTCAAGCAGGCTCCGTGCTGTCGGCGCAGAGCCTGACTTGGGCCTCGGTCGCGCAAAGCGTGAGATCACGACCTGGGCCAAGCTCAAGAACCGGACGCTCAGCCACTGAGCTCCCCCGGGCGCCCCCACCACAGAAAAGTGTAGTAGGTCAAGTGAAGAAAAGATTCTGCATTAAAGAGCTTTGGGAACAACTGGTTTCCTTTTGAGATTAAAAAAAAATCGTAGTGAAAGATATCTAATGTGAAAGTTTCCATTTCCACCACTTTTAGCTCTACAGCTCACTGGGGTGACTTCCGTTCATGGTGCTGTGCAATAATCCATTTCCGGAAATTTCCATCACCCCCGATGGGAGCACTGGACCTATTAGCAGTCACTCCCGTCCCCCTCCTCTCTGCCCATGGTGGCCTCCACTTTCTGGTTTTTTGGTTTGCCTGTTCTGGATGTTTCATACAAGTGCAATCAGTCTGTCCCTGTGTGTCTGGCTTCTCTCGCTCACTTAGCACAACGTCCTCGAGGCCCACCCACGCTGTAGCGGGAATCTGAGCTGCTTTCCTTTCAGAGAGCAGTAGCTTTATGTGGAGGCACAGCATTGTGTGTGTCCGGTCAGCTCGTGACAGACTCTGCCATTGTTCGCACCTCTTGGCTGTCGTGAGGGTTCCTGTATGAACGTCGCCATACAGGGGTCTGGGTGAGCCTGTTCCAGGTCTTCTTGGGCACATACCAAGGGGCGGAGTTGCTGGGTCCTGTGGTGATTTCGTGTTTAATTGTGAGGCCTTTTGCCACAGCAGTAGCTCTATTTTAACACTGGTTTCTTTCCTGCAAACTTTCTCAGCGTCTAAAATGTTTTGTGGACAGTAAATCCCCGAGGGAAGATAGAGTTGCCTCATTTCTCCAACTTATTTGACCTTGAAACCTTTGTTTTCCTTGACGAACTCCTTCGGAATTAGGTTGCAGTACGCGCCCCGGGGACCCCGCTCGTGGGGATTTTGAGAGAAGTATTTTCCGCTGATGGTTCGTCCTGTCCTCTCACCCCCATCACTGTCCTTCAGTACTTCCTACTGAGATGGTCTGGGGTGTTTACAGATTCCTTACCGCTGCTCCTTTGTTTTCAGGTGTAATATAAGCACAAAGTTACTGACATTTTAAATTTTTTTAATGTTTTAATTTGTTTTTGAGAGAGAGACAGAGACAGAGCTAACAGGGCAGGGGCAGAGAGAGAGAGGGTGAGAGAGAATCCCAAGCAGGCTCCACACTGTCAGCACAGAGCCCATTGTGAGTCTCAAACTCAAAAGCTGTGAGATCATGAGCTGAGCCGAAATCAAGAGTTGGACGTCTAATGGACTGAGCCATCCAGGAGCCCCTTATTTGTATTTTTTTAGGTGGAAGGAGATACTGTATTGAAATGCTCAAATACTGGACTTTTTAGAACGGTTTTGATTGTGATTCAAGGGCATAGACCCTTAAAGTGTAGGTCTGCTCTGGAAATTTGGGCACCGAGGTGGGAGCTCCTAGACTTCTCACTGCCTGATGGTCTTTAGCCAAGTGCTGTGTGAGTCACACAGGTCCAGGGCTGTCCTGGGAGACTGGTGTCGTGGCCGTGAGGTGGCATTTAAGGGTTGGGGCCTTAGCTTCCATTCAGAGTGCCGGGCTTCTCTTCCGCGGGATTTCGGGGAGGCGATAAAGGCCTCTGATGGGAAGGGAGGCGGGCTCTCAGCGGGGCTCTGCGTGGCCAGATTGCGCGCTGACCGGCCCCTGCTTCTGTCTCGTGTAGGTTGCACGCCTCCTTGTCTGCGCATCCTGACAAAGATGAATTAATCCTTTTCGGAGGTGAATATTTCAATGGCCAAAAAGTAAAGTATATATTTTTTTCTCTTCCCCCCAAATTTCCACGGGTCTCATTTTGAGCAAAATTAATTTAAAGCAGCGATATCAAACACGCGACGGTCCCGCCTCATGAGCTTACAGGGCTGGCACGTGACCTTGTCCTGGACCAGCCACCAGGACCCTCTAGTGACCTCTAGGGTCACTCCTCGTATTGCCTGCTTGAGCTAGACAGGCACCCTGCTCACTAGGGCTGACGTTCGTGCCCGTGAGGCGTTTCCAGGGTTGTTTCCTACCCCTACCAGTGGGGTAGGAAAGTGCTCGTAAATTGTAGAGCTAATTTTCATTTCTGAGCGGGCCCAAAAGACCTGTATTTCAGAGTTGAGTGTAAACAGTTAGAAAAGCACGAGTTCCCCTTCCCTCCATGCTGAGGACCCCTGTGAGTCTGACTTAACCTGTTCATCTTCCACTCTGAATTTTCATGCATTTTAAAAACCAGGCTTGACTTGAAGAGAAAGACAACTTGGGAGCAGCAAGGGATCTTGGTATCTTAGGCCCTAGTAGGCATGGTGGGAAGTCTTTTTCTTTGTCATTATCCCGAAGGCTCCCAGGGGACAAGCCCCAGGCCTCCTGCATCGGTGTGGTTTGCATGGCTTTACGAAACCCGTTTCCCGGGGACAGCTAGTGATCGAGATCTCATGTTCCACCTACCGTCGCTTGTGTCGAGGCATCCTTCGTGACACTAAATCCCTCTTCTTTGTTGCAGACATCTGTGTATAATGAACTCTACACCTACAGTATCAGGAAGGACGCCTGGACCAAAGTGGAGATCCCCAACCCGCCCCCGAGGCGCTGTGCTCACCAGGTATGTCGGCATCGACTGTCAGCCCTCCCTCCTTCCCTGGGAGGGCCCCGTTATGTGCTTGGAGAGTTTGTAAGTGACGGGCCGCCCGGCACGGAGAGGCCGGGACCTGCACAGGGTCCTCGCTGGCCGTTCCTAACTTCGACTCGTGCCTGAGCCGCTTCCCTCACGATACGGGGCTGGACGCCTTCTGCAGGTGGCCTGAAGGTCGTGTGAAGAAATCCAGGCAAAGATGCCTAGCGCCGTGCTTGGCGTGTAGCGGCCATTTGGCAAAACGTCCTCCGTTCGAGCGAGAGGCTCCCGTGGGCCCAAGTCCTGGTGGCGAGAGAGAGGGATTCCTCAGGAGAAGCGGAACGTTCAGGTGGTTGTTGGGGGACCAGATGGGTCGTAGCCAGAGGCAGCTAAGGCTAATGAAGTCAGCGTGCTGTCGGCTAGTTTCTGCTCACCCTAGGGGGCCTCCAGGTGCTGTGACTCCATGGGGACAGACTCTCGGTCTTGCTCGTTATCATAGCCCCGTGCTCTGAGCAGCGTCAGGGCACAAAAAACAATTTGGGCGACACTTTTCCGGCGTGGAGAAGGATGCTTGTGTGAGTCTGTCGTGGTGAGAGCAAAACCCGTGCACGGGATGTGGGGGTCCCCTCTCTGGTTGTTGGCTCACAGGGAGCCTGCTGACCTGGGATTGAGTCGGCAGGAGGGCCTGCCTGCTGGGACTGCACGATCATCTTGTGCACGTAGAGACTTGAGGGCGTTTGGACTGGTGTGTCTTGTGAAAAGAAGAATGTCCTTGGAGGGTTAACGGTCAGATCTCAGTAAGCTTGGGTTTTTTTTTTTTTTTTTTTTTTTTTTTTTTTCAGCATTTGTTATTTTTGGGACAGAAGACAGAAACGTGCTATGAAGAGCAGCGGGGGAGGGGGCAAGAAGAGGGAAACACAAGAATCGAAACAGGCTCCAGGCTCTGACCATCAGCCAAGAACTGACGGCGGGCTTTCAAACATCTCACGGACCCGCTTGGTCGTGACCTGATGGACGCAGCCTTCTAACTCCAGCTGCATGCCAAGCCCCAAGCAGGTTTTGAGCGATGCGTAATGGAGCTTGAGGGGTTTGATGGTGCTGGATCCGCGCCCCAGTTCACAAGGAGAATGCCTTGAGCCTCCAGGCCGCGGAGGTCTAATCCTCGGCCTGTGTAGTCTCCTGACCCCCAGCCCTCCCAGATGGCTCATCGGATTCCTGCACCCCAAGAGCACTCACGTTCTGATGGAGCGGTCCCATGCATGCACCATGTCATGTGTTGATCTCTTGAGGGGCTTTCGGGCTTCTACTTTGGAGTGTCTTTTTTTTAAAAATTATTTTATTTTATTTTTATTTTTTAATTTTTGTTTATATTTTTTTAAAGTTTATTTTTGAGACAGACAGAGACAGAGCATGAACGGGGGAGGGGCAGAGAGAGAGGGAGACACAGGGCCAGGGAAACATGACTTGAGCTCTGAACTAGTACAAATTGCCCCTAGGGAGTTTATTTTCTTATCCATTTTACTCACGGTTACTAACTGTGTCCTTGAAGAATTAGGGTCGCGAAAGTCTTTGAGACGTTTAAATTCAGTTATTTTGCCAGGGTGCTCAGCAGGTTCTGATTCGTACGCCTTCCTTAGGAGGGATTAATAATATCCTTGTAGTTAAGGTTAGTTTGCTGTTTTCTCTGAATTTCACAATGAATCAGCAACGGGAAACAGAAAATTTGTTGTAAGGTCTTTTGCCTAAAGTTCCTTATAGTCCAAATTCTACTACATTAAATTCTGAGACATAGAACTTTCCTTCTGGAGTACCTGGGTGGCTTAGTTGGTTGAGCATCTGACCCTTGATTTCGGCTCAGGTCATGCTCCCAGGGTCGTGGGACCCAGGGTCTCCCTCCCTGTCTCCTCCTCTTCCCCTCTCCCCCTCTCTGACACCCTCCCCTCTCCTCTCTCTCCTACCCTCCCTCTCTGCCACCCTCCCTCTCTCCCCCTCTTTCCCACCCTCGCCTCCCCCCTCCCCTTCTCTCTCACCCTTTCTCCCTCCCTCTCCCCCTCTCCCCCTCTTTCCCACCCTTGCCTCCCCTCTCCCCTTCTCCCACCCTCTCTCTCCCTCCCTCTTTCCCCTACTCATGCTGTCTCTCTTTCTCAAAAAAACAACAACAGGGGCGCCTGGGTGGCGCAGTCGGTTAAGCGTCCAACTTCAGCCAGGTCACGATCTCGCGGTCCGTGAGTTTGAGCCCCGCGTCAGGCTCTGGGCTGATGGCTCAGAGCCTGGAGCCTGTTTCCGATTCTGTGTCTCCCTCTCTCTCTGCCCCTCCCCCGTTCATGCTCTGTCTCTCTCTGCCCCAAAAATAAATAAAACGTTGGAAAAACAACAACAACAACAACAACAAAAAACCAAAAGTTTTTACAGACTAATTTAACATGTTGGAAGTCACATTTTTTTATCTTCTCTTTAACTGGGACTAAGAGAGTAGAAACAGAAGCTTATACGTACACCATTCTTTCTTTTCTCCTAGATTCTGGAGTTTTGGGGGTGAGGTTTATTTTAGTGTGTAATTGGAGAGTTTAAATGGCTTTTCTAAGAGAATGCAGCCGAGTGAGGGAGAGGGAAGGGCTGTAGCGCCTGCTGAACATGTGGCCGGATGTGTGCGGGCTTCAGCTGCTCCATTTCCCCAGAGAGAGAAGGGAGTGTCCACACCCCTCCGCCTGGACCCTTAAGGACGCCGCCACCCACGGGAGTGCGCCGTGGAGAAGTGGGGGAGGGTGACGAGGACGCGGCAGTCATGACATCGTGTCTCCTTGATGGTTTCTCCCGAAGTAGTAACTAAGTCAAATGCATGTGAGAGGCATTCTCTCCTAAAACAGAGAACGGCTTGTGGTTAGATACACGTCACCCGTGTTCTCACTGGCCTGGTGCGTTAACGAGCAGGAGTGGGCTACAGAGAAGGGTTGGTCTATAGAAAATGCCCCCGCAATATCCGCGATGGTCCATGTGAGCTGCAGAAAGTGTTAGCCTCCATCTAAATAATGGCTGCGCTCCGGCCCGTCTGAGCAGGCGTTCAGGGGTCCTGGACTGCTCCCCCAGGAAATACGAGGCGTCTTTTACCCTCCAGGCACCCTCTGGGGCTCGGATATGGCGACCAAAGAGACAAATTTGCTTTTCCCGAAGACGTCCCGTGGTTTGTGTCTTCTCTGGTCCTGATGGCATCATGTGCTTTTAGGACTCGGCTTTCACGAAGCTGAAGCATGATGCTGGTGTCCGGTCCATTTCGAGTCTGTTAGTTTGGATTCCGATGGGCTTTTTTTTTTTGGCATTTGGAGGGAGACTGGGGAAACATGACTTTCTTCCAGTTAATGCGACAGCAAATAGACCCAAGTGCCTGGGAGGCACACGGCCTTGTGGGACAGGTCAGAAAGTGGTGCTGTCATGCCTCATCCGCGGGTCACCGGGCGGGGCTTTGTCTTCGTGAGGTGCGGTTGTCCGTTTCAACGGTTATTCAAAGCCACTGTGTGTACGTGTGTGTGAATATACATACGCTTAAAGTTGTTTTATTATGGAAACTGGTCTGGATCACCCGGCAGGAGAACCAAGTGGCACTCGGAGATCTTGGAAGGACGGAGGTTTATTTTACACTGGTGGGCTCAGAGAAGAGATCATTCTCCAGAGATCTGAGCACTGAATGCAGGCGGGAAGGGTAATTTATAGCGTCCTCTTCCGCATTCGTGACGGCTTTTGCACGCGTGCGGCAAAAGGGCGGGAAGAACCCAGAAGAGGAGTCTCTCTAAGCTGGGAATTAGAGCTTTAGTCCCATCGGCCATCTTATGGTGCAGAACTTTGCTTATTTTCCCAGCAGTAGTATTTTGGCGCCTGAAGCAAGCAGGGTGGGAACAAGAATCTGGAAGGGCAGTCTTCAGGCAGGGACTGAAATTCCCTTATCAGTCCTGCTGGCCATCATATAACAGATTTTTCCCTAACAGTTTGAACTTTATTGCTCTATATCCCAGATATAAAAATAGTCACTCAGGGGGGCGCCTGTGTGGCTCTGCTGGTTAAGTGGCCGACTTAGGCCCGGGTCCTGATCTCACGGTTCATGAGTTCGAGCCCCGTGTCGGGCTCTGTGCTGACAGCTCAGAGCCTAGAGCCTGCTTCCGGCCTCCACCCTGGTGACCTCGCTCCCCTGTCCCGTCCAGCCAGGCCTCTCCTGTGAGCTGTCGGGTAGTCGAGCTCCTGCCTTGATGTCTTCTCGAGGAAGAGTCCTTACCTTAAGATACCTGTCACAGGAAGTAATTTCGTTCGTGCTTAGACTTTTAAAAAAGTAAATTTTGGGGGCACCTGGAGGGTTCAGTCGGTTGAGCGTCCGACTTTGACTCAGGTCATGATCTCAATGGTTCGTGAGTCCCAGCCCTACATCGGGTTCACTGCTGTCAAAGCACAGCCTACTTTGGATCCTCTGTCCCCCTCTCTCTGCCTCTCCCCTGCTTATGCGTGCTCACTCTCTCAAAAATAAACATTTGAATTAAAAAAAAGAAAAAAGAAGAAGGTAAACTCTCTGAGATCTCTTTTTTGGGCCTGAACCTATTATTTTTGTGTAATGTTTTCAGGGGAGTGTGCGTTTTGCAGGTATCTTTTAGGAAATACTTCTCTTTTTCCTTACGCCGCAGGACATCTTAGAGCTACTGTGTGTTTATTCTGAGATCAGTGACCTTGATAAAAATACATTTTTGGAGGAAATTTAGTATGGGTCAGTAACCTGGCCTAGATCCCTTCCTTACTGCGTTCCCTTCCATTCGCTTAACAGCTACAAAATAGAATCCGAAACAGACTCCAGGCTCCGAGCTGTCAGCACAGAGC